TTCCTGCAGGAAATGACCTGATTTTATGGCATCTTCCAGAGCAGATGGCTGATGGCAATGCGTTAAATCTGGCTAACATAAATGCCCTTCTTTGATGGGGGTCATTAAGAGAGCAGAAATAAGTAGCTGTCTGGCCCAGTGTCTGGGGTAATCTCAGATGAATTTGAGAACAAGTTTTCCTGTCTGCCTCAGTCAGGCACTGAAATTGAATATCTAAAAACCTGCGTTTGATTGTATGAAATATTGTGGAGGCAGATGATAAATAAGGCAGATCTAAAAGTATTCCTAAGTAAGGACCTAATTTTTGGGGGGACTAATTTCAGCCAATTAGGTTCATAATGATCTCCCATCCACATACCAACCCTAAGCAAGGTTGGTATGTGGATGGGAGACCACAAAGGAAGACTGCAGAGTCACTGCCTCTGCAGAGTCTTCCTTGGTGGTCTCCCATCCACATACCAACCTTGCTTAGCTTCTGAGATCTGACGAGAGCAGACTAGTGTGAGTTAGCAAGGCTGCTACAGTTCAGATACACCTCTGTTTTAAAATAAACATTGCCTGTATGTAAGGGGTGAGGGAAATATTGCCTTCTTGTAAAGGGTGGAGTAAAGCAAAGTAAGCAGGCTATCAAACAAAGCAACAGAACAAAGTTAGAGTCCAATGGCATCTTTAAGACCAACAAAGTTTTATTAAAGGTGTGAGCTTTTGTGTGCACGTGTGTGCGTGCACACGAAAGCTCACACCTTGAATAAAACGTCATTGGTCTTAAAGGTGCCACGGGACTCTAACTTTGTTCTAACATGGCTGCCCACCTTGATCAAACAAAGAAATACTCAGAAATAACTTTTCCCCAAAACAGGAAATCTTTTATTGTCTTTATCCTACTTTAGCATAAAACCACTTAACTTGTTTGGATCCCAAGACCAAAAAATGTATTTTTAAATTTGCTTTGAGAAACAAATAACTTTTTGTGAAACCAGAATATTGTGCAAAAGATAAATTCATCGCGAATGAATCTTTTAAATTTATCTTTCTCAGGTTTATTTCCCTTTTTGTTAATGTCTTCCATTGCATTTAATGTCTCCCACTGCATTTACAAGGAGCAATATATGGTAAAAAATATAGAGGGAGAAGTGGTATGAAACAATTTGTAGAGCAGGCCAAGCTGTGGGCCATTTTTGCTGCCCAACTGAAATGATGCAAGGAGAAAAGATCATTGGATAGAGGCAGAGAGCTGCGGAGGAAGCCAAGAAAGACATACATGAACTGAGAGTCACATGGCTACGGGGGAGCCCAATGGCATCCACTTATCTGCAGAGACCAGACTGCAACCATGCTTCAAATTCAATGGACTGAATGCTCACGGACCGCATAACATCACTACCACGGCCATGGGTACAACTGTAGTGCACACCACCCCGAATCTAATGGGCACGCAAACAGCCTAGCTTCGTGTACGTACGGGCCAGGCCAGATCATTGGCTTGCCGCAAACCGGCCACCACTGAGTGCTCGACTCTAAAATGGTTACTAGAGAGCCAGCATTAGTACAAACTGCAGTTTAAAAGTAATGGCAGCTTGTTCCCCTGACAACTGATCAGCACAACGAAACAAAGTATGCCCCGGACTACACATCTCCTCAGATCTGGGATTCGGCTTCAACGAGGAGCACGGTGGTGGGAGAAATAGGATATTTCTCGGCTTGCCCCAGCACTGATTCTACAGTTCTGAAAGGAGGGTGAGTTTGGTGTACATCTGCAAGACATCAAGAGAGAGACGCAAACTGAGGGGTCATCACACACACACACACACACACACACACACACAAAGCGCATTTATCCTCCACAAGAGGCAGCGTTGTCATTAAGAGGGCCTTGGACTGCAAAGTTCAGGTTTCGGCCAGGATGAACCGGAGGATGCCGTTGGCCACGTCCAGCGTCTCATCCTTCTCCAGCACAACATCGTAGGCCTCGATGTACTTTTCTCGCTGTTCCTCTACCTGCACAGAGGGAGAACAGGCAAGGCTTACTGGGCAGGTCTTAAAGAGTACATTCAGCCTGGCCTAACTTCACCGCATTGGCCCACAGCTGTAAACTACTGTGGCACTTGGAGAACCGTCCGTGTTCCATGGAAGCCTGCCGTTCTTTAGAAGTTTATTAGGAAAATGAGAACCTCGGTAACACTGGACAAGTTTAGCTGAAACAAGCAAAAACGGGAGGGGAGAAAAATTCCAACCCAGAACAAACTAGGTAACCAAAAATGTTGGGGTGGGGGGGAATCTATGTATAGAGTCATCACTGTCGGTTACCTAAAAGAGCAAAATTATAGTCCATAAGCTTTAATCAAATTATGATTAAAAACTATGCATCATTATAGTCCATAAGCTTTAATCAAATTATGAATATTAAAAATTATGCATCACAAAACAACAATCTTTGGTTACATAGATATGTACCTTTCCCTATTGTACAAAACTTGTTTAGTAAAACTGCACTCGTATACCAGTAGATGTCACACAGTTACAAGCATCAAGCCTATGACCAGATAACACTTACAAATCACATAAAATATGTGTAAACCAAATGTGTTTCGGCTGTGAGGCCTTCCTCAGTTGTTTAAATCTTTGTCATGCAAATGATATGCTGTTTTTATTAAATTTACAACAAACCCGACCAAGGCACTAAACATCCAGATGTAAAATTTGTATAAGGACTACATATCTCCCTTTGTTGTTAATCGGGACCATCGAAGATAATTCTCCGGATGGTTTATGTAAAGCCAGGCTGACCATATATATTATACAAATACAAAATTTATTAGGGTGTACACATATTAAAATATATTCGGGTTAAAAAATTTTCAAGTATCAGACTAATAAAAGCATATCAAATATTAATACACATCAGATGACATTACAAAGTAACTGAAGACCAAACGTGTTTCGGCCTCAAAGGGCCTTCCTCAGTGGTCACTATACAACGTAGTATAGACACACATTCAAACATATGTATACAAGATTTTTAGTACACTTATTTAAAGACCAGATGTTGTATCCTGAAAATATAAAAATAGAGGGGGGGGGGAGAGGGGAAAAGA